CCCCCCCCCCCCCCGTCAGTGTCGCAACAACTTTCGGCGCCCAGCAAGAAGTGGTGTATTGATAAGGTGAACCACCGCCCCAACGACTGGCTCAAAGTATTTGCTGTCTACAGCTTCTTTGAGGCCGCCCCCGTCAGTGTCGCAACAACTTTCGGCGCCCAGCAAGAAGTGGCGTATTGATAAGGTGCAGTGTGTGTTGAGTCGGCAAAAATAAATGTAGTTGGGGTGTGTGTGTTTTTAGAAAGTAAACATAACCTCACAGAACGAAGACCGGTTCGAGATACAACCTTAGGTGAGAGGGATGTGGTGGAGTCTTTCCAGTGAGTGGAGGAAAACCGGCTGGGTGCTGGGCCTATTTCGAGTATACACTGATGATCTATATCAGTGATACCAGCTGATGCTCAGTACAAAAGCATCTGTATAGGTGGATACATTCTTAGCACGTCCCCTGTAGTTTTCTACTGTGTTTTGTTTTGGAACCTTGGGGTGTTTTTTAGAAGTACTTTGGCTTTGGTTCTGGCAAGACGCAATATAGACTATGTTGTTGTGTAACAGTAGTTGTGTCCTGCACGCATACGGTTGGGGGCGAGTAGGCTGTGTGTCGCTATACAGTAGAAAAACTACGCCGATATGCATGCCTGCATGCTACATTTTATCGCGACGACCATTCTTATCTCTTCTGTTCGCTGCGGACAATTTCGTGCACCATTGCTGTGGCCGCAGGAGGCCTTAGTTCCTTCTTTCTGTGCATCGTGTTAGTCTCTTCTGCGGCCGGTGGCTATAGTCTAACTGTATCATGCGTCAACCACTGCGGTATCAACCACTGCCGGGAAGCATCGCTAGCACGCGCAATCGGGACAGGCCCGAGAGCAACAGCGCCGGATAGCCACAACCCACGACCAACACATAAATCCGGCTCATGAATCCGTGCTATGGATGCATACATACTATTTACGTAGCTCTCGCAACATGTTGGTTGGAAACATCCTCTCACCAACTCGCCAGCGAAGACGCTCGCGGTGAGGGACCCTTGCTGGAAGCTCGTCAGCCCCCACTCCGCGGCGACGCACGGCACGAGGTAGCTCAGCAGGGTGACTTCGATCCCGTCGGTGCCGATCGCCAGCCCGACTGCGGTCTTCATCAGCGTCACGAACTTGTTGTTGCCTCTGGAGGCCATGAGGATCTGGCCGATCGTCACAGATGGTATTGTGCAATAGAATGATGCTCGTGCACTGCCTCGATGATTGGATCGGTACAGAGAACACACGGGAATCTTGGACATTTTTTTTTGTTCTCCCATCATTGGACTCTGTCGTCTGCCCCTCTGGCCTCTATCCTCCACTTCTACTAGCTAGACGACCCAACCGGGTTCACACAGGAGGGGGGGGTTGGACCCCCTCCTGCATATACACCACCACCGGCGAGCCAGCCATACGTGACGTGCATGGTCTTCGCGATGGACAAGTCCGAACTAAATGTGACACCTTTAAGACTAGGTAGACCACCTACAGCAGCACGACCAACCTCTGTCATCAGCAGTGAATAGCGGCAGGTACACCTGCAACAACAAGGGCAAGCATCTATTGTAGAAGTGCATATGCATGGGCAATACTCCTGTACGTGCATGCTATGCTTATGTACAACAACTGTCAGTCTCCATCTTTCCGCAGTGTAATGCCAAATGGATTCACGCACCTCCTCCGTCGTGGAAGGCCCCAAAGAAACCTTTTTCCGAGAGTCTATCGCCATGATAGCTGCACCTCACAGAAGAAGAAGCTGTTTGTGTGATACCAGGTGTGTGCTTCCCGCGGGTTGACCGCTGCTGTTGTTTTCGAAAGCGTGCTCCGTGCTCGTTGGTGTCTCGGGTTTCTCCGTCGGTCCCAGTCCCTATTAGGCCGCAATCTAGACCGAAAACGCCTCGCGAACCACGATCGGCAACCTCGAAAAAAAAACATTCGGCCCGCCTCCCATGGGCGAGCGCAGAGCGAGGTTTCGTCAACTGCAAAACCAGCACCACTCCCATGGCTCGCGTTTGGCTCCCTTTGGCTCTCTCGTGCCAGGTTTGAAGATATTTGAGTGCGTGCGCATAGAGTTTTTGAGAGCAACGTTGTTGTTGTGCTCCATAAGGTAGCAGGACAGAGGTAACTGGAGGCCAAGCGGCCAAGCGGCAACTTTCTTCCCAACTCTCTGTTGTACTTCAATTTGCTCCCTGTGTGATCATTGCCGTGTACGGTAGGCAGGTCCTCGACCCTCTCAGCAGCCCGTCGCACGACCGCATTTGTTCGGTGTTCCCTTGTGCTGTCCGGTGCAGCAGAGCGATGGATGACACAAGCGGTGTGGTGCACATGTTTGTAACCACCAACGCGTTTTTTGTTTCTCCCCGCCCGCCCACTGCCTCATCATCTACATGCGAACCTCTATGTATACCTAGCTCGGTTGCGTGGATGGCTTCTTTGTTGGGCCGCTGCCTGGCCGCGCCAACAGCTCGCCCGTGCACCAGCACCGTAGCAGTACCATCATCAACGGCGGCACCTACCGGGCGCCATGGACGACTGCAGGTAATTCCGCACAAATAGGCCAGTTGAGCCCATTCGGGACAGTGGTACTGTATGCGTTGTACACTGAAAGTCGCCGCCGTCGGCGCTGGCGTCGATGTATGCGTACCACATCTGTGAAGCGTACGGCTGCTGTGTACAGCAGTAGGAGCGATGCGCGTGGTGACTCGCAAAACAGCAGCTTTGCAAAAAGAAGCACCAGCTGCAGCACGGCTGTGTATATACCATGCAGAGGGTAGATGCCATATGGTCTCCAGCAATGTTGTGGTATGCCAGCAAGAGCAACAACTACCCGCCGACGGCTTAGATCGGTTGGTCTCCAGAAGATTCCACGTGCAAGATTCACCCACTAGGATACCCCCCCCCCCCAACACCATCCGGTGGCACCTTGTTTGTGGAGCAACGAAAACGAGCCCAAAGTATAGAACCACTCATACAACTTTCATTAGGGTTACTCTGAGATCAAGTAAATACTCTAGGGTGACATATGCGTAAGATAAGAGATACCACCACCCCGCAAACACGAGTACAGTAGCCGGATACCCTTCGAATCCCCTCAAAAGTCATCACCGGGGCGAATACAGGCGTATCGGCGGCGCTCGCTTTCGCCACGAGGGGCAAAGGCCGCGGCGCCGCTCAAGGTGCTGTTCAATTTCATGTAAAGCGATGGAAGATGGACTACGGTGCTGCGGCTCCCTTTCGAGAGGGAGATAGCGTGCAGCAGTAGGGTGACACAAGATATCACACCCCCTGGGCCGATTTTGAAAGCTCTCCCAGAGCAGAAAAGAGTGGCGGCGCCGAAAGCGGCGGCGTTGGAGCCCACCCCGTCGAGAGCTTTCCGAAAACTCACCGTTTAATTCGTACGACATCCTCGTCGTGGAGTAATCGAGCTTTGAAATCGGACAGTCCGGGGGTGTCGTTTCTTGCGTCACCTATCGTATTATTGTTCGGTTTGTTTTCAGGGCAACCACAACCGCACGTTACCCAACGGTAAAAGAAAAAAAGAAAAATGTAACCATCGGTAGAGGCCCTTTTGGAACGAGCAGCCCATTGCCCCATTTCCTCCCCCGTTCCTCGTATCCTTTTTTTTTCTTTCTTGTTCGTTTCCACCGAGAAAGGACCGATACTGACACTAAGCGGCGGAGGGCCGCGGGGAAGTCCGGTGGAAGCAACAGCAGTCGGTAGCAGCAGTCCCACGAGAAGCAGCAGCAGCCTTGAGGCGGCTGCCTCTTCCGCCGAGACTACATCGCAGGTGCGCCCTGGCACGGGTTGGGCTTCTAGGGAGGGCTTGGCATGCTGAACATTTGAAGCTCCGATTTTGGGGTTTTAATGGGCATGTAGACACGGCTCTGCTGGGGGCTCAGGTATGGTAGTTGGAGGTGTTGATGGCACCCCCTTGTTGTCCCATCCGGGGAGACTTTACTGACGTCTGACCATAATATGCTCTTGTCTTGTCTTGCCTACTTCTCCCCTCTATGGGAGTTAGGGGGACTACCCTCCCACACACACACTCGGGGGAGGCTGCCCTAGGGGTCAACGTAGGGCATACGGCTCGCTTGTCCTTGTTAATAAGCAAGTGGGCACGGGTAACGAGCGGGATTTCTGTCGTCCGCCCCCCCCCCCCCCCCCCCCCCCCCCCCCCCCC